GATTAATTTGTAAGTAGGCGCAAAGAATAAGTATTCCCTCGCCGCATAAATTGCTGCTTGCTGTGCCGTCATCCGCGAGACTCCTTGATTCGGCTCCATCAGCACGTCTCATAACCTAATCGGTGAGCGTTGCCACAACATAAGGTTTTGTAAGATGAATGCTCCATGTTCTCCGCTCAGGCTAAATCATACATTTCTCTAAGAAATTAAGAGAACGTCGGAGATGGTAGATATTACGCTCTATGAGGGCTTATTTTACGATCTTGAAAAAAACTGCAGTGGTCTGAATTTCTAGACACTAGACATGCTTTCTCTGAGCGAAAAACATTGCAGAAAACGCACTTTGCTAACGTACAAAAAGCAGTATGTCGTGCACTTCATTGTAAAATATGTATAAATCCAAAAGGGCATCAAAAATATATGCAAAATTTCATGCTACTTGCACGGTCAGTATTGGCGAGCGTTCTTTTTGCGGCGATCGACAATCTGGTGAGATTTTAGCATCTTATGATTATGCTGTGTGGCAGTGAACATTACAATCAAATATAATCCACGTTTTTTAATCGAAGGCGCATTTTAAGATTTTGATTCACATTACTTTTGATAAGCCAGTTGCTGGTCCAGAAAGTGGAGCAACGTGATGTTTTCTGCCGCACTCCGTGTGTTAAATTTGCTTGCGTTTATGCTGGTAATACAGGCCGATGACTTAGGACTTGTATAAAAGAACATAAAGTAGCTATCCGCTGACGTAATCTTCTATCAGGCGTGTTTGCGCACGCTCTTTAATTGGTAGGAAGCTAAAGTTGTTACCACGGCTGACACTAAACAGGCTTGTGAATCCCACGTAATCACTCAAAGCCTGGTCCTCTAACACGACCAGCATCCATCGCCATGTCGATCTGGACGCTCATTACGATGCTTTGCGTGTCCAGCTCCCCGACGTGTTCCCACGACCTAACAGAATACATGAAGTCGTCCTTGGTTTGCCACCTCCTCCCCAAGAGAGCGAACTACCGCTGAAACCCCTAATACCCCCTTCCCACCCCCCCCTCAAAGTTCGCACAATGACCTCTGTCCTCATGTCGGATCAACGACGTCAAGGTCCACTGTCTGCAGTCCCAGTGAATCACCATCCCCTTTTCCCTCCGGCCTAGGGAACCACAACAGTCCCCCCTCCCCTCCCTGCTACAAATCCTAGCCTAATTTTGTGCCCACCCCTTTCAAACACCGGTTTCTTGTCAGTCAGTGTCTGTCCTGCTGCACAAACCAATTTCGTCTGACCATTTCTTTCTCTCCTCTGTTTATTTCCTCTGACGAAGGTTCGGTGTCACCATTCCGCAAATTCACGAGTATAACTCGATTTTCTCCGACGAGCCATCTACCTTCATTGCATCATTCCTGAATACATGCTACCCCGGCTATCCAGCATATATATATACAGTAGGTGGGTTAACTCAAGAAATGTCAACCGAAATTCCGAAATGCGTTTTCGTCTCGGAAAGGCTAATTAAATGGGGTGATAAAACTAATCCTCCTGTAGCATAATTCTATAATAATTCAGTCACAACAGGGTGCCGGCTTTCGAACAAACGTCTTTCCCGCTGCATGCAAAAATTATGCTCTCCGAAAATAGCTACCTAATATTATGTATTTTCATCACTGATTGTCCAACCAAATACTCATTTTTTTGCCCATTTGGCAGAAAATGACGAATTCTTTCAATTTTGTACTCGAAGAAATTGTGTAATTCGTTTTTAAAAGGATTCTAAATGTGAGCTTTTGTAATGTCACGGAATGACCTTTCATAAAACGTCATGTCTCTGCATATACCAATGTGCTTTGTTAATTTAACAATCTGGCTCAAATTTACTCCTTAATTTGAAGAACTCCATATGTTATTGTCCTAATACCGTAGAGAAATGTGTGATATTCCGCACGCAGAAAATATGCGGCTTGTAAACTGAAAACCGTGAATGCAACTGCATCGACAGGTCGAGTTCAAAATTATTCGGGAACTGGAAAAATTTTTGAAATCCGAATTATAATCTTTCTTTGAGCATAAAATTGGAAGAAGACGTCATTTACTACCGAATGAGCAAAAGACCGAACAGTCTATGCTTGCTTTCTCCGAAATATAAGTACATTTTAAGAACATCAAAATCAACGAGAAAAATTCATACTTCTTCCATTTTTTGCATGCATCCGGTAAGAAGTGTGCTCGAAAGCCGACATCCTGATGTAACTGAATTCTTAGAGAACTTTGCTGCACGAAAATTGATTTTAAAGACAAAAACGAAAACTCATTTCGGAATTTTGATTGGAATTTCATGAGTTACTCAACCTACTTCAATATATATAATATAAAGAGAAACGTGCATAAAGGTCATGATTTGAAAAGCAATTTCGGAGCGACAGTCACATGGACATGATCGTTCAGAGCGAAATAACTGTTATCGTCGGAATCTTCTCTTCTGCACTTTATTTATGAGAGTTGAGGGCCGCTAGTCTGACACCAAGGGCCACCTTTGCAATCGCCATGGCGGAGCAAGACGGGAAAATGTCGCCAATCTTCCGCCTCAGCCGAGGCCAGCTTTTGGTCCTTTTGGGATGGCCGGCAGCATTTGATGACCTTAACTGTCCCGCCTGGAACGCTAGTGTCGTTTGCACGCTCTCGTTTGTCTAAGCAGTCACTTCTGTGGGAATGTTGGTGCCTGGTTCAGCCGGGGTGCATTGTGGTTCTGTTCGTCGCAATTTGTCTCCTCTGTGTCCGGTTTCACCTTTGGTTTAGGCACGGCGGCATTTCGGGACTGTAGAAAAGGTCAACAACGTCCAACGGAGGGTCTCCCACGTGCCAGGCCCCATAACATGCCGCGGAGGAGCCAGGGGAGGAGGAGACAAACACGAGCTGCTGATGCGCGTTAGCTAATGCTGGCGGAGTGTCTGAAGAAGTAGCTAGATTGCTGAGAGAACGTGGGAGGCGGGGTCGCCCACAGACCGAAGGCAACAAACTACTAGCACCTATTGCGCCTCCAGATGCTAATATACATCGGAGAATGTCTGGCGTCATTTGTCGCGTTTTATATAGTAATGACGAAGCAAAGTAGATAGGTGAAACTGGCAAGCAGTTTCATATTGACGCGTGACACCTCATAGAGGACTCGATCAATAGACAAAACGTAAGCGCTGACCGCCTATTAGGCATTGTACAAAAAGCTCGGTAATACGACTGAAGATAATTGATGGCGGTGTACATATGCTTGCGGAAAATTTCAAAATATCGAATAGGTAAATAACCGGTCCTAGAATTTTGCTTTCTGTTTTTTCTACCATATATAAGGAGCAGGAGGATGACCTCAGAGATAACGGTTACTGATATATAAGCCAGCGTTCTCGGAGACCTTGGTCTCGGAACCGTATTCTTACGTAATCCAGCGTTATAAAATTTAAAGCTGTACAGCTCAGTTCATGGGCGTGCTGTCCGCATTGTTGCGGCCTGATGTTACATTAAACCCATAGTACAACGAGACAGGTGTGTCTCTTAACCTTGTTGGTGGGCGTACTTCTGTCGCAGAAAATATTTCAAGTCACTGCCTACAGAACAATGAGCCCGTGACTCATCGGTATAGCTCTGGACTTGCCAACACACTATGATCGAAGAATCGGATTCGAGTCTTGCCTGCCGCAAACATGGAGTCCTGTCTGGCTGGCTGACTACGCATAACATATCGGAGATGGCCATACCATCCGCCTTTATATCTGTCGATAGTGACATTCTACTTATCATACCAGCACTCTAGTAGCTAAAGTCGGGGATCCAGAGTGAACACAAAGGTAGAGTGGAACGTATGTGTTTTGAAACGCGACCGGTGAGCGCCCACGTTTGCCATTATATATATATATATATATGTAGATCAGGGGTGGTATGCATTCTGAGTTGATATAATAGAAAATAGAAGAGGTTTATCGGAAAAGTTGAGAGGGCATCTCGACTTTTCCGAAGAACCTCTTCAATATTTGAGAATGGGCATCCCCAAAAGCATAATCAAAAGAAATGGGTCGTTTGGGAAAGATAAAAGAATTTACATCGCAAACTTTTTGTAAATTGTCTACCTCAGGCGTAAAGCAAGTTCGCACGGCAGTTTAAATTTAAATATGCCTAAAATGAAATATTACTTTGTCGATCCTGTCAGCCAGCCTTTACCAGCACCATGTTTTGATTGGCAAATGCCTTTTCTTTTTCCCTTGGAATTGTTGTACGCAGGGACGACTGACTATTTAGATAAGGAAACAAGTCGTCTACAAGATACCATGCGACAGAAGGTTCAGGTGACGGTGGCGAAACTTTTAGTTTAAAGGTCGTCGTTTAAGAGAAACAGCGGCGGGAGCAACCGAAGGAAGAGGAAGAGGAGGAAGAGGAGGAGGAGGAGGAGGAGGTGGTGGTGGTGGTGG